CCCCCCCCCCCCCAAATCCCACACCAGCAATGTACTCCTCCCTCTCGATTAAGCCCCCCCCTACCCTCCCCAAGTTTGGGGGATCCCCATTTTTGGGACACTCCCTCCTTTCCCCCTCCCTGCAGCCCTGTGGGAGGGGCTGTGATTATTTTTTGGGGAGGGCGGAAGGGGGATGGTCACTTTTTGCCCCCCCCCTCCACAAACTCACATCGGCGTTGCACATTTAGGGACCCCCCAAAAACCGTCCCCCTCCCTCTTTCCCCCCTTCCCCCCCGCCCTGCACGTGGCAATGATGTCATCATTTCCCCTTTGGATTGGATCAGCCCTTCCCCCCCCCAAAAAAAAACGCGCCGCCCCCCCCTCCCCCCCCCCCCCCCCGCCCCCTCGAGAACGAAAAGGAGGAAAAAATCCGCGGAAAAGGGGCAAAAAACACACACAAAAAAATGGAAATAAAGTGTTGTACCCGTGCTGAACCTGTCGGTTTGGGGGGGTGGCCGGGGTGGGCCCCGGGGTGGGCCGGGGGCTGTGATGCTGTCCCCCTGGCAGCGGTGTGATGGGGTACCAGGAGAGGAGTTATAGGGCGGGGGGTCCTGGGGGGAATGGGGAGGGGGGGGGAGGATCTCCAGGGTGGTCATGTGGGAAGGGCGGGGGGTATGGGTGAGGGTCTTGAGGGGGGGTGGGTTGTGCAGAGGGGTCCCAAGGGGTATCAGTTTTCCCCTTCAACCGCCGTCCGTTGTCTTCCCGGTGGGCGGAGGGACAGAACTGGGTGCAGCGCAGACCCCACCCCACCCCGCGGCCAAAGTTCAGTGCTCCCAATGCGGCCTCAGCGTGGGGGGGGGGCCCGGCCACGCGGTGCCCCCCCACCCCACCCCCGTCCCCTCCTCCCCCCAGCAGGATTCATTTGGGGCATTTCGGGGATTTCCGCCTTCCTTCCTCGTTGTCACCATTGCTCCCCGTCAGGTGACGGCGGGGCTGGATGAGGTGGGGGGGAGGGTGGCTCGGTGTGGGGGGGTGGTGACCCCACTTCCCCTTTTGTCGCTATAAATACGCTGCGGGGACACAGCGGGACACAACGGGGACACAGCGAGGAGGGTGAGCGAAGCGCCGGGCATCTCCCATCGGGACCCCCGCAGTGTCACAGCTTTGCCCCCCCACTTCCCCCCCAATAATCCCCCCCCCATATAATCCGCCTCCCCTCCATATAATCCCCCCCCGCCTCCTCAATAATCCCCCCAGTTTGAGATGTTGGTGCTGCTGGCGGTGACGGCGGTGGTGGCAGCCGGGTCGGATCAGGGGAAAGCGGTGCAATTTCTGGCTGTGGGTGATTGGGGGGGGGTTCCCGAACCCCCTTTTGTCACCCCCCGGGAAATGGCTACGGCTGCAGCTATGGGACAAGTGGTCGAAGAACGTGGAGCTGATTTTGTGCTGGCGTTGGGTGACAACTTTTACTACGATGGGGTCCGGGATGAATGGGACCCCCGTTTCCAGGTAGAGGGAGCTGCAGAATGCGGGAGGGTATCCAACGAGGTGGGGGGAAGAAAGGGGGGCGGGTCAAAATTTGGGAGGGAGGACTCTATAATGGAATGGTGTCAACTACGTGGAAAGAGGGAATCTTTAGGGGGTGGGGGTCCACAGAAGGTGGGAGCAAAGTCCCCATGGGGGACGGGGGGGGATATCCCATAATCTCCACTGGGTGCCCCAGGGAGGGACACACGCACGGGGAGGGGGGCGGTGATGATGTCCCCAGAGCGGCTCGGCTCCTCAGGCTCGTGGTCTCCCCATTCTATGGATGCATGGAAACACCCCCCCCCCCCTTGCCCTCACCCCCAGGAGACCTTTGAGCGTGTGTTCACAGCGCCGGGGCTGCGGGATTTGCCTTGGTTTGTGCTGGCAGGGAATCACGACCACCACGGCAACGTGAGCGCGCAGATCGCCTACAGCCGCCACTCGGAGCGATGGTGAGGGGCGGTGGGATGGGACGGGACAGGGAGGGGAGGGGTCATGACGGGGATGGACAGCACAGACACACATTCACGTCCACATTGTGCTTTCACGTGTTCTCTCAGGTGTCCCCAGGTGTCCCCAGATGTCCCCAAGATATTCCCACGCATCCTCTGGGTGTCCCCTCAGTTATCCCCAGGTTGTCTCCAAGGTGTTCCTACACATCCTCTGGGTGTCCCCTCAGGTGTCCCCAAGACATCCTCACATGCCCCCCATCTGAGCCCTAGCTGTCCCTAGCCCACCCCCATATCTCCTCCCATCCCATCAGCATTTCCCACACCATCACTATATCCCACAAGCACTCCTGGGGCATCCCCAAATCCCTGTGTCCCTTGGGGACTTATTACCCCAGCACTATCTCCCTATCTGCTGCTTTGGGGTTCTCAGGCCATTCCCCATCATGTCCCCACATATCCTCAAGCCGTCCCCACACCCCCACAGGCATTTCCCACACCACTACTACAGCCTACGCCTGCGTGTGCCGGGCACCAATGCTACAGCACGGCTGCTGGTGCTGGACACGGTTCTGCTGTGCGGATCCACCGATGACTTTGGGGTAGGTGCAACCCCTAGAGGTCCAGCAGATGCTGCAGCAGCCGAGGCTCAGCTCTCCTGGCTGCGGGGCCGTTTGGTTGCTGCAAGGCACGACCTCTACGTGTTGGTGGCTGGGCATTACCCGGTGTGGTCAGTGGCTGAGCACGGCCCCACAACCTGCCTGCTGCGGCTGCTGCGGCCACTGCTGCGACAGCACCACGTCACCGCCTATCTCTGCGGCCACGACCACAACCTACAGGTGAGTACCAGGCTGGGGAAGGATTCCTTTGTTTTGGTGAGCCCCCCCTGCCCCCCAACACATTTTGGGCTCAAACTCTCACGTTTTAGAGTCAAACTGCACTCTCATCACAGGTTTGAGATCAAATTTTGGGCATGCCCTCCCCTCCTGTTTTGGGGTGACTCATCCCCATCTGAGTTCTCCCCTTTAGGGGCACACATGTGAGGTCTGACCTCTCACTTTAGGGTCAAACCCTCTTGGTTTGGAGGCCCTCGGCTTTTGGGTCCCTGCTGCTCTTACTGGGGGAAGACTGTACTGTTTTGTCCTCAAGATGTTCTCATTTCCCCTCTGAGTACCCCATGGGTGTCTCCTCAGGTGTCCCCTCAGGTGTCCCCAAGATGTCCCCACATGCTCCCCATGAGCCCTAGCTGTCCCCAGCCCATCCCCACATTTCATATCCCATCGCCATCCCAAGCCATTGTCCTTAAAGGCAGGAGGACAGTCTGACAATTTCCAATTACAGCCTGGTGGGTTGGAGCAGGGCAGGCAGAAATCTGGGGTGCATTTTGCTAATTTTCACAGCTTTCTCCAAGCTGATTTCTAGGGGGGAAGGGAGGACCAGGAGAGTAGATTGGGGGGCCTGGCAGCCCCCAGTGACAGCCACGCACATCCCCACAGTTCCTAAAAGAGGATGGGGTTGGCTACGTGGTGAGCGGAGCCGGGAACTTCATGGAGGCATCTCAGATCCACAAGGCAGCCGTTCCCCCCGGCGCAGCCCGTTTCTTTTTTGGGGCTCCGGAATCACCCGGAGGTTTCGTTCATCTCCGTCTCGACGCCTCTGCAGCCACCGTCACTTTCCTGGAAGCCACCGGGCGCGTTTTGCACCACGTGGCACTACCGCCCCGTGACCTTTGACCACACGTGACCTCTGACCATGTGACCGGAAACGGCTGGTGGGTACTGGGGAGGAACCACGTGCAGTGATTCTCCGGAGATTCGGCTCACCCCGAAGTCTCTGGAGACCTCGGGCTGCCCCCCGAGACCGTATTATTACTGAGGTCTCCCACCAATAAAGGTCTTTAGACTGTTGCAGCAGTCGCAAAATGGCCCCGTTTCGCCCCAAATCGGGCGGGGCGAAACCAAGGGCCTCAGTCGCACCTCGACGGCGCCCTCAGCGCCGAGGACCTCCCCCCGCCGCCGGTTGGACGTGAGGGCCGTCCGTCACGGCGGGTCGTCCAATGAATGCGGGAATCGGGTCGTCCAATGAGTGAGGGAATCGGGCGGAATTGGGGGAAGTGGGGGTGGGGTTAAGGATCAGTTTCCGGTCTGCGCGGCGGAAGTGGCGGCTGCCTGGGGTAAGCGCGCCTCTTGAGCGGCGGTGGTGGTTCCGGGCTCGGTTTTGAGGTCCGGTCGACGGCCGTTCTGAAGCAGGGGCCGATTGAAGGCCTCGTCCCTCCTCATTTCGGGCCTGGTTCCCCCCGCTTCGTGTTTTGGGCCCACCCCCCCTTTACCAGCCATGGGGCGCCGCAAGTCCAAGCGGAAGCCGCCCCCCAAGAAGAAAGTGACGGGCACGCTGGAGACTCAGTTCACCTGTCCGTTCTGCAACCACGAGAAATCCTGCGACGTGAAGATGTGAGCGGGGCCGGGGCGGCTGGGCGGTATTTTGGGGTCCCCCCCTCCTTACACAGCACCCCCTTATTGCCCTTCCCACACCCTCCTCCCCGGCCTTTTTGCAGGGACCGTGCCCGCAATACGGGCGTTATCTCGTGCACCGTTTGCCTGGAGGAGTTCCAGACGCCCATCACTTGTATCCTTCACACGGACCCCCCCCCTCACTCCCCCCCCCTCCTTCGTTTGTGCCTTAACCCCCCCATCCCGAGATCTGTCGGAGCCTGTGGATGTCTACAGCGATTGGATCGATGCCTGTGAAGCTGCCAACCAGTAGCAGCAGGGCCTCCCCGTGTTATTTGGAGGGGGGGCCGACTACACAACTGCCTCACCCCCCCCACCCCAAGCGTGTGTTTTTTATTATCATCACACTTCACTTTTTCTCCATTTTATCTCTCTGTGTTGGGTGGGAGGGGGGCAGCAGCTCGAAGGCTGTGTCTGTGTAAGGGATGGACCCCTCCCTCCACCCATGGGTTGGGTTCTGGTGCAGCCTTTTGCTTGGCTGAGCCCCAGGGGCAGCCACAAATAAATGCCTGCATGGGGCAGCACTACTGCTGGGGGTCTGTGGTTGTTGGCAGCAAAGGAATGGGCTCCCCTGTGCATCCCTGCTGTGCCACCATTGGTGTCCTCATCCTTATGCAACTCCCTTGGTGCCTTGACATCCTTATGCCCCCTTAGTTTCCTGCTCTCTTCCCCCATGCCTTACTGTCCTTTTATCCTCTTCTCCCCTTGTCTACGCCACGGCATCCCATTCCCCTATAACCCTCATCATTCTCAGGCCATTGGAAGCAACGGGTTTGCGTGTGGCTTTTATTGTGCCTCGGTGGCTTCACATATGTGGGGCAGCAGCGGGGCCAGGCCAGGACCCCCCAGCTCAAGGTTTCCTGCTCCGGGGCCCCCCTACTGGCCCCTTCCCAGCAGCCCCGGGCGCGCGGTGAGGCCGGTGCGGTGCATCCCCAGCACGGGGAGGTGCAAGCAACCGTGGGGAGGGGGCTTGGAATAGACTCAATGGGGGTTATTGGGAGTTGTAGAAGCTGTGATTGAGGCCGTCCTCGCCCAGCAAGCCGGGCGCATCGCAGTACTTGGGATCGTAGACCTGCCTTGGCAGCCCATACACCGTCATACCCTGCTGTGAGGCACCCTTGTTGCTGCCCATCTGCAGCCCGATGATGTTTGTGTCGCAGCGCTCCATGCCCAGCGAGGGCTCGAAGATCTGCCTCTTGGTCCCCGGCGCTGTCATCCCAGCCTGCAGAGGGGCCGTGAGGCTCCCCCTTGTCCTTCCCCACTCCCCCCTTCGTCCCCTTGTCCTTCCCCACTCCCCTTCCCCACCCAGCAGCCCCGCAGTGCTATGGGACATGGTGGTACCTGGCTGGCCCCCTTGTTAGTGCCCATCTGGAGGCTGATGGTGGCCTGATCCAGGGGTTGGTCTGTCCCCAATTTGGGGTCGTAGAGGTGCCTCCGCGTGCCATACGCCGTCATGCCTTGCTGGCTGGCAAACTTGTTGGTGCCCATCTGGGGATGTGAGGATGGGGGTCAGGCTGTGTGGCTGCATTTCCCTCCCCCTGCACACTTCTGCCAATCCTGGTGTCCACTTGGTATCACCTGGAGGCCAATGATGTTCCTGCCTTCACGCAGCTTCTCAGGCTGGAAGCGACGCTGCTGCTTCTCTGCATACTTCACACCCAAGCCCACATTGTTCCCCTTTGTCTTGGCCTGCATGAGATCCAGGTTGG